TGTTAGTTGCTGTTTAGTCTCTGTATACTCACAAGGCCGTTTGATGTCTTCTATATTGTGCGTTCGTGTTAGAGAACATTTGTTACTTAATGTTGTCCAGAGTAGGTTTGTGTGTTTGCATTCCAGGATGGTGTGTTCGAGCGTTTCTTTGTTGTAGCATATGGGACAGTCTGTGCAGTTTGTAAATTTTTTCTGCCTTCTCCGTTCGTTTGTCTGTAGGCAGTTATGATGAAGTTTCCAAAAGATGGTTTTCTCTTTGCTAGGGATATTTAGTTTTGAAATGATTTTAATTATATTTTTACTTTTCAAATTGAATTGATTTATACGGTTTTGGGGTTTCGGAATAAATTTATCTATTACTTTATGATAGAGCTCTTTTGGTGTTGATGTAAAGATGATTTCATCGGAGAAGTTTTCCTTCATTGTTCTGTAGCATCGTACAATTTCAAGCAGTATTGTTGGTGGTCTTAGTCTGTGTATTTTCTCAGTAGTTATGATTATATTTGGTATGTGAGGTTGGAGAAATGCNAATATCTGTCTTCTCTTAAATGCATTAAACACGATTCCAATCGCATCAATTGAATCGGAAAGAGCATTCTCGGTAGCAAGACTTTTCATTACTAAAATAAGAATTAGAGTGAGTGATCGGAGTATTGATCATCTTTGCTTTTTAAAATCTTATAAAAGTTTACAATATTTTGTATTATATTTTATTTAAAAAAGGAAAATCACCTTCTAAGTTATAAGTTCCATCTAACTTGTAAGTTCAATTTTTAATTTTTAACTCAATTCAAAGCATTTTTGTTGTTGTTGTTGTTGTATGCAGTTTCTAGCAAACTTTAATAAATTGTTTCTATTTGTGAAAATTTCTACGTAATTCAAAGGTAATTTTTATTATATATCTTACACAGCATTATTAATATGATTTTGAATGATATAGAACTTTAAAATTGCTTTAAAAAATGAAAAATAATTATATCATTTAATTTCAAGATATTTTGTATACCTTAAAAATAATTGATTCTATCCCTGGATTTCCCGGGATCCCGGGAAACAGTTCACTTTTATCCCGGAATCCCGGGACAAGCAAAAGACCGGGAAATGAGAAACCTAGCATCGTACAATTTCAAGCAGTATTGTTCGTGGTCTTAGTCTGTGTATTTTCTCAGTAGTTATGATTATATTTGGTGTGAGGTTGGAGAAATGCTTTCGCTAAACTTGTCCAGATACAATATTTGTGCAGGTTATTTATCAATTTGATTCTCTGGACTATGGTTTTCAGGGAGACTTCCAATAAGCCAGCTCCTCCGTTTTCTAAACTATTATATTACGCCGTTCTTCTTATCGGTTCGAAGTTTGAGCCCAGATGAAAGTGGCACATATTCTATTGATTTGCGTCACCGCTCTCTTGGGGAGTGGTTGCGTGTTAATAACATAGCAAAAAGGGCTCAGCAGTTTGATATTCGCTAGTTTAGCCTTTCCAGTAATTGAGATATTTCTTTCTCTCCATGTGTAAGAGGCCTTTCTCACCTTCTCGATGTTTTTGTTACATTGCTCGTTGCTACTCTTACGTATCAGTATTCCCAAACTTTTGAACTTGAACCAGTTAAATCCTAAGTAGTTTGACGGGAGATTTTCCCAGGCTCCAATGCAGAGTCCTCTGAATTTTTGTGGATTCATTTCCGTACCAGAGGTATCTTTAAATTTCTCGAAAACTAAACTTACCATATTAATACTGTCTATGTCAGTAAGGAACAACGTTATGCCGTCCGCATAAGCAGTGTATTTGATCTCGCTGTCAAGATTGTTTTGAAAGCGGTATCCTTTGATGTTACTGTCAGCTGTAATATGGCGGAAAAGAGGTTCCATGCAAATAATAAAAAAGAAGCATGGATAATTGGCAGCCCTGGCGTACAGAACTGTACAGATTAATTTCTCTGTAAGTTTTCTGTTTACTATTATTCGGCTGGTGGCGTTTTCGTAACATAAGTTTATCCATTTGAAACAGTTTTCTCCAATGTTATTGTGGTTTAAGACCGACCGAAGGTAATCGTGCCCGATATTATCAAAGGCTTTATGGAGGTCTATTTGTAGAAGGCCGCATGTATCGTGACATTGGCTGGCTAATTCGTAGATGGATTGAGAGAGGAAGATGTTAGAGTGGATGGAACGGTTTTTTATGCCACAGGTTTGGTGCTCGTCAATGATCGAGGGGACGCAGGTTTGAAGTCTAGGACTTTAGTGAGGATTTTGTAATGAGCAGTGAGATGGGTCTCCAGTTTCTGATTTTCGTTAACTCTTCCTTTTTGTCGGTTTTAGGAATAAGGGTGATTATTCCGTGATTGAAGCCATTTATCAGTTTGTTGGTTTTTATAGAGTTCTTGATCATGTTGACGTATCGTTGCCCTATCAAGGAAAAAAATTATTTATAAAATTCAGCGGGTAGCCCATCCTGTCCTGGTTATTTGTTATTTCTTATGCTATTTAGCGCTGCTTTGCATTCTTCATAAGTGATGTTTCTATTTAGCTCAGTACTCTGCTTATCGTTAATTAAGATTTGGCATTCGAGACATGAGGTCTCGTGCTTTTCCTTTGTGAAAACTTTTCCTTTCGAATATTTTTGAGTAGTATTGGTGAATAAATTTTGTTATTTCTTCATCATCAGTTATTGTTTCATTATTCCCATTTTTTATTGTACTGATCGTTTTATATTGATTATGCTTTCGTTCCATTTGATAAAACTTCTTGGATGGATGGGTTTCCTGTTCACAAAGCTCTGCACGAGATCGGATAAATGCTTCATATAGACGGTTCTCGTGACATACCTTTAGTTTGGCTTTTGCGTCTGCAATGGCTGTTTGATGCTTGCCAGGGTATTGGATTTCGTCCATATATGCCTGTTTCAGCTCTCGTATCCCGTTTTCGTATTCTTTACGACGTTGTTTTTCTTTATTTACACTTATCTTAACTGCGATATTTTTAATATTTCTTTTCACAGTTCCCCACCAATCTCAGTCGTTTTCTCCCGTGGTGTTAAATATCGCTTGGGTTGCTTCAGTTAAAAAGTCGACTTGTTTCAGTAGATTTACGTTCATTTTCCAGGGTGTATTTACTCTATGTTTGGATTTGCAGTTCCTCTTTCTTAAGTCGAGTGTTAAAATAACATCGCTATGATTAGTTAAGTGATTCGGAATAATTTCGCATTCTGATGTTATCTGTTGGAGGTGACTAGAAATATAGAATCTATCCAAACGGGAGTGAGATTTATTCTGATGGTATGTGAATGCACGTTTATGAGGGTTCATTTTACGCTAAATGTCAATTAAGTCAAACCGATCTTTCAGGGACTGGAAAATTTCAGTTAGGCCTACGCTTTTATTGCAGGTGTTTCCTTAAGCCACGGCGCCCGCGTTGCCTATTCTTATTGCCAACAGATGTTGTGTTTTTTATCTGTTATCGTGTGATTTTCGGAAACGACGAAACTAAGTAGTACTCGTTTCCTTTTACCAGCTTAAGTCTTTGTCGTTTGTCGGCGAATATTGAAGTGGAAACAATGCTTATTGCCGTTATGTTTAACAACATGTGTTTTCATAACTTAGCACAGTAACATACAAATGTGAGAATGCGAGAGCGGAAACAATTCTTTCGATAATTTGTTCATTTTATTTATAACATGTTGATACAGTTTTTGATTTTCCCACTTGATTAATCATTCAATGTAATATTTTAGCTACAAAATAGACAAAAAGTCGTCGTATTTCGTCGGAAAAAGAAGTAGAAGTTCCCTTAGATAGTTGTCGTCGCACATATTTGACGAACATCTGCTTTCTTTCGTCACTTGTATGTCCTATCAGATTATCAGAATACTAAAATCCGATTGGTGAAAACGTAGAATAAAAAGGGAAAAAATTCAAGAGTTCGTGGTAGTTTACATCCAAGAGAATTTGCCATATTAACCGCAGTCTATGGCCAGAAAGAACCTGCCTTACTAATATAAGAAGATAGTGTTGCTCCGATTCTCTAGCATTCATATCGCATTCTTCAAGTTTGAACGACAGAGGTATCATTATATTTAACCGATTGTAAACTCTTCCTCTCTCTCCAGTTTTAAAGGTGTATTTTAGATAGGCTCGATTTTCGATAGGTTATATTATGTACCTCGATTTATGTATCTCTTTGTTTTATTTCATTGATTAAACGGTTTTTGTTATTTGTTAATCTGGTGGGATATTTGTTATTTGTTAATTGTTATTTAATATTTGTTATTTGTTAATTGTATGGGAAAATGCTTTATTTTCTCACACAATTAACACAATTTAAACATTTTTGCCAGGACAGTTTACACAATTTTCCTGATTCCTCCTCTTGTGGAATAATGAAGTGCATAATATTACTTTTAACTTGAGAGTAAATTATAAGAAATCTTTAATAGTAAGATAATTAGATGCATTCAATCAATTGTTGTAAACGAACAGGTATAAAAAATCCAATGAAGTTTTTCGACATCGTAAAGATGTCAAACAGAATTAGCAAAACACAATAAATCATTGCTCGGAATCAAATGTCCATGAAAAATTTTTCACTTAAATGTTGCATTTGGGTGCAATTTGAAAGAGATTGTACATTTATAAATTTCGATTGTCGTGCGTTTGTTTGTATGTGTGAATGAATGTTTGTTTATTACTCTGATTACTGTTCCTCTTTATTTTCGAGAATGGAGCCAAATAAATGACAATGGATAGAAGAAATACACGGCAAAAAGAAAAAAAGGCCTCCATTAGCTGTATATTAACTTTCAGATTGTAACGGAAAGTATAATAATTTGATTCAAATATTTCCTCTAAAAGAAGTTAGACAGGTGACTGGCACCACACTCACAGGAATAGCATGATGTACAGAAAAATACACGATTAAATTATAATATTATCATATTAAATTATCGTGAAAAGCATTCCGACTGCTCTGTTGTAAGATAAATAAATACACTAAACGCTTTAAAATATATTTTTAAAAAATTTATTACTGAAATTTAGTATATTATTTTCGACACAGCGACATTAATCAATCTAAACGGAAAGGGTCTATGTCAGATGACAAAGATGGAAGACGGCATTCACCTTTCACACGTAATAAATCACAGTAATATAAATTGCGAAAAAGTTCAATTGTTTCTGACAAACGTAGTATAAAAACGTTTTAATAACATAGAAAAGAAAAGAGCTGAAAGAAATCAGACGTATGTGTCAACGTTTGCAGGTCGCCTTCTATTTCTTTTATCTAACATTGACCTTTTTTGGCCAATGTCTACACTATTGAAGCGCGGATTATCATATTGATAAGAATCTGGAATACATGAAACATTGTATTATGAACAACTGTTTCGTTAATTTATAGATTTTATACTTTCTGAAAGAAGCTATTTCTTTCTTTATCGTTTTTCGACAATCATTCTTATACCGAATTTCGGACGAAGAATGACGTCGGCAGATTCGAAAATCTTATCTCTGTGGTCTAAAGACTTCACTCGAAAATGTCGAAGAACATTCGCTAAAACTGTCTTCATCTCCATCATGGCGAATCTTTGACCTGGAGAATGGTAAATACGTCAGAAGCACAAGAGGCTTTTGTCTCATATCACAATTACTTACCTATGCAATTGCGTGGACCGGCAGAGAACGGTAGAAAGGCAAAGGGATGACGTTTCTCGCAGTTTTCTGGTAGAAATCGATCTGGATCGAACACGTCGGGATTAACAAAAACTGTTGGATTATGATGAATCCCATAAATGTTTACTGCAACAGACGATTTTGCCGGCAAAATATAATCACCTGAAAGATAATTTCATTGTTATCAATGGAATTTTTGTAATTGCTGGGAAGCGTATTTACTCTTAAAATGCGATACATACCCACTTTCAAATCAGATGGATTCCTTCTCACTATGACTGGAACCGGAGGATAGATTCTGAGTGTCTCCTGAAATTACTTTAATATTTCAAAATCGTTGTCGAGTATTTGATATCATANAAATCGGATGGATTCCTTCTCACTATGACTGGAACCGGAGGATAGATTCTGAGTGTCTCCTGAAATTACTTTAATATTTCAAAATAGTTGTCGAGTATTTGATATCATAATTTTTTTTTGTATTTACGAACAAAATTCACAAAATTTTAAAAATGGTTTGTTGCTCTTAAATACTTTCTGTTAAAATACAAAAAAGTTTCTATTAATATAAAAAAGAAAAAATGCGAAATACATGTCATAGATACATAAGTATATGGAGATAGAATTGGAAAATAGTAAAAGTTTCCTTATCTATTGTTTCTGATTAAGAGTAAAAATCGATAAATGTAGCACCTCTTTATTATACCTGTCTACACTGATAATGCTTAGTGCTCGTACAGTTATAACGGCGTTTTCATAATTATATTGTACAGCTTTAAACATTGTTTTAAGTTTACATTTTCCTTGTATAATTTTAAATATATTAAAGTTTTTTAGTTAATAGCAACTGATGAAAGACTATTTTCTCTCGGTAAATAGTCCAAAGTGCATTTTGGGTTTTTCGTTCCCATACTTATGTAGTGATTTTTGTGTTTATCAAACTTTTTCGCTTCGATTCCAAATCGTTTCTGCCCATCATTGGTCTGATAAGCCCTCACTTAAATGCCTCACGGTTGTTGATAATTTAAATGTCTAAATTTTACCTTTCACCAGGCATTTAAAAGTAAATTGTTACCTTGACAACACGTTCCAGATACTTCATTTTTCTAAGGTCTTCGGACGAAATAGGATTATTCATGTCTTCACCAAAAATTTCTTTTTGTTCCTGGTAAACATTCTCTTGTATATCGGGATACAATCCGAGTAGATAAAGAGACCAACTAATACCCATTGCAGTTGTGTCGTACCCCTAAAAAAAAGACAATTTTTATATACCCTCCAATTATTTTTTTCTTAAATTAGTAAATGAAACTGATTTTACTTCGAACATGAATGTGTCAACTTCTTCTCTGATATCTTCTTCGTTGAGACTTTTATCCGTTAAATGATGATAAAGCAGTAAATCCAGAAATGCTCGCCTCTTCTTTACCCCTGGAACTTCATTTTCTTCTTGAAAGTTGTCGATTGTTTGATTGTCTTTCAGTTCTTCGATCATTTTCTGTTTCTTTTCTCTAATTACCTGAATTGTTTTCGTTCTTTAATTAACAATGTAAATAGTTTATGAATAAAAACGAATGGACTTGCCTTTCTGTCGAATTCGTGAATAGTGTCAATATCTTTATAAAATTTTTTCCCTAATGGACTAAGGTTGAATATGGCACTGAACCAATACCAAGGCTTCGTTAACCATTGGATAACTGCTGATGTTATACTGAATTATAAAGCACAATGTGGTATATTATAAATGCTTCAAGTAACTGAAATATATTTCACATTGTAAAAAATATTCTAAAATTTTAAAACTGAAACAATATCACTTACGTTGTTTCGGATTTAAAACTTCGTAAAATACGTTATTCGTTAGATACGTTAGATATATAGTTATGTCAAACATGACATAAACAGTGTTAGTTGTTAAAGTGTAATATTAATATTAATTTATTTATTATTAACAGTTACAGAAATTTACAAAATATTCATTCGTTTATCTCTTCTCGCCATTTTTCTTTTTTTCTGATATTCAGACAGACAGCATTTGTGTTTTCTCATAAACGCCAGCAGTTGCGTCACTTCCGGTAACATATGACTGAATTGATGCTGAGATTGTAAATACGCCCACTGATTTCAGGGTTATGCAAAGCTAAGATCAAAAAATTTTACTTTTTGGAACCAGCTTCATTTCTTGTGTGTTTAGACGAATGAAAGGTCTCTAATACATACTTAATAACAAAAGTGTGACAATGGATAAAAATAATTTATTTTTTACTTATTGCAAAACTACCTTACATTCAAATAGTTTGATACCGTTATACTAATATGCTTAATTGCGCCGTTGAATGTAAAATCGTATTTAAAAGATATTTAGTGTATTTTTCCCTTATGAAAGAGGCAGCAAGGGTTGCATTGTATGCGTAAATGGAAACTCTTTCGTTTTTTCGAAAAATCACAGGGCACATAAAGCAAGTTGTATTTTATGAGAAAGTGTTTAACAGCATGAAACTAGTGTGTCTGTGAGTCTGGAGGAGTCTGGTCATAAGGAGAATACTATCCATTGTATGAAAATTGCAATTATGACTTTTCATAGTGGTAAAGCTAAGTTTGTGGATCTATGGATTATTGTTGTACAATAATCCATAGATTATTAACTCTATGGATTATTGTTGTACAATAATCCATAGAGAAACGAAAATAGTAATTATATGAAAATTGAAAAAATAGGTAGAAAATCCTTAGAGTTATTCAAAAGCAANACCATTGGATAACTGCGGATGTTATACTAAATTATAAAGCACAATGTGGTATATTATAAATGCTTCAAGTAACTGAAATATATTTCACATTGTAAAAAATATTCTAAAATTTTAAAACTGAAACAATATCACTTACGTTGTTTCGGATTTAAAACTTCGTAAAATACGTTATTCGTTAGATACGTTAGATATATAGTTATGTCAAACATGACATAAACAGTGTTAGTTGTTAAAGTGTAATATTAATATTAATTTATTTATTATTAACAGTTACAGAAATTTACAAAATATTCATTCGTTTATCTCTTCTCGCCATTTTTCTTTTTTTCTGATATTCAGACAGACAGCATTTGTGTTTTCTCATAAACGCCAGCAGTTGCGTCACTTCCGGTAACATATGACTGAATTGATGCTGAGATTGTAAATACGCCCACTGATTTCAGGGTTATGCAAAGCTAAGATCAAAAAATTTTACTTTTTGGAACCAGCTTCATTTCTTGTGTGTTTAGACGAATGAAAGGTCTCTAATACATACTTAATAACAAAAGTGTGACAATGGATAAAAATAATTTATTTTTTACTTATTGCAAAACTACCTTACATTCAAATAGTTTGATACCGTTATACTAATATGCTTAATTGCGCCGTTGAATGTAAAATCGTATTTAAAAGATATTTAGTGTATTTTTCCCTTATGGAAGAGGCAGCAAGGGTTGCATTGTATGCGTAAATGGAAACTCTTTCGTTTTTTTCGAAAAATCACAGGGCACATAAAGCAAGTTGTATTTTATGAGAAAGTGTTTAACAGCATGAAACTAGTGTGTCTGTGAGTCTGGAGGAGTCTGGTCATAAGGAGAATACTATCCATTGTATGAAAATTGCAATTATGACTTTTCATAGTGGTAAAGCTAAGTTTGTGGATCTATGGATTATTGTTGTACAATAATCCATAGATTATTAACTCTATGGATTATTGTTGTACAATAATCCATAGAGAAACGAAAATAGTAATTATATGAAAATTGAAAAAATAGGTAGAAAATCCTTAGAGTTATTCAAAAGCAAGTTATAAATAGTTTTGAATAGAAGAGTTCTATTCATATTTGTCATTAAATATTTCTTTTCAACTTACTCATTAATGGCAACTCCATAATCAGTGCCAGATTTGTCTTGAGTGTTGAATCGAACTCCCATTGCTGAATCTGTAAATAATAATAGTATACAGTAGAGCGTCGATNTGTTTTTATCATTACTGTTCTCTTCTAATTTATCGTTCTCTAAGGTTGTTTCCATTTCGTTCGTTTCCATAAGGCAGTCGAATTTATTTTGTAAGGTGAGTATGTCATTTTCTTGGTCTTTTGCCGCTATCGTATTTCTCGTAATATTAATATTGGGAAGGAATTTTGTTTTTTTCCTCCGTTTAGCTGTTAGGAGCGGTGACGAATTTTCATTATTGTAAGGTACAGCCGGGGGGTTTGTTGTTTCATCCTTTTCAATGCTTGTTGTTGTCTGATTCTGGGCAGCACTTACCTCTGCTTCATTTACCTCTTTGTTTAGAGGTATCTGGAGTTCGTTAATGCCTGCGGCAGTAGTTAAGCTATTTCCTTTGTTCTGGATACTTCCAGAACATTCTTTGTCGAGGTCGTCCATAATTTCTGCCCAGTCCGTTTTATTTTGTAACTTGGAAGCGAAAGTGACTCCCAAACATTTATCGTCGTTATGGCCGAATTTGTTACATTTTTTACATTTCGGCGTAGTACACTGCCTCCGTAAGTGGCCCTTATTTTTACATCGGTAGCATAACGGGGGACGACCGGCTATTACGACAGCTCCTGACATACCTTTGACCTTAATAAAGTATAGTAGTGATTCTAAGTTCACATCCCTTTTTAACTCTATCCATATCCGTCGTTTGTTTGTAAGGATATGCTCTAATCCCTCGACGTTGCATTTGACGAATTCGCATTTTACTATTCTCCCGTAGTTTATAAAATGTTTCGTCACAAGCTCGTGAGATAGTTCGGGAGGGAGCCAGTGTATTGTGGCTATTATTTTCCGGTTTTCTATACTTATGATATTACAGGGCTTACCTTTTACATTTATCGTTCCTTTATTTAAAAGATTTTCCACGGAAGCTTCATTCTTAAGCCCGATCGTAAAGACATGAGTCACTACAGAAACTCCAAAGTGAATGATATCCTTTAAGTCGATAATTTCCTTCAGTTCAGGTACAAAGTCTTCAATGTTGTAAGGACCGTTTCCTGGATCGACGACAAACAGTAGGGTCTTCCGCCAGTCTACATCATTTGGAAAATTTAATAATTTCATAATTTCGGCATTCGAAAGAGCACTTCTGTTATAACGTGTTGTACTGGGTGAATCACCCATGCTTTCGGCACTAGTAACAGGGAGCGAGGCCATCACACGTCTGCACACTACGGTGGCTAAACCTGTTCCCCCGTTCGGCCATCCGTCCGCTTATTTTATCGTACTGAAGCTGGTGCAGTTGATTACGGATGACATTTGAATTGTAATCTAGAGTTACTATACTACTTTGTTACTATGGAAACTTTAAATAAGCATATATAAGTTTAATAAATAAGCATAATTCATAGACGCATATAATTACTTGATTCATGTAAAATTATCCGTAATTTTACCGGTCCGCATAAGAAAAAGGTCGAAATGCACTGATCTATAAGATTTAGGGTCGTCTTTTGTAATTGCCAGTATTATAGACGAGTAACACTGAATAGAAATGTAACTACTATCCAGAATTTAAGTAAATACTCTCGATAATACTGTAGTAACACTCGGCTTTACGTTTTCATAAAAAAAAAAAAATCCAGCAACGAATTGCTTAAGTTTCTCGGCAACATTTAAAACTGCACATGGCGCCATCTGTTATGATATTTTATTATTAAAAACTTTATATTTCATTATTATAAAATGGCAAAAAGCTTAATTTTGAGAGGTTAGGGATGGGTTTTATAAAAAAAAAAGAAAAAGAAAAACTGCAAATGATAGTAATTAGTAAAATCGTCATTAATTCCGACTGTAATCGAGATAGGAAACACGATCCCCACCAGTGCTGTAGCGTGGATGTCAGCCGCCCGGGGCGGAGGAAAATTTCGCCGCCCTCTTATTTAGGTATCTCAATTTAAAAGACTAAAATTCAGTTTCGTCACAGAATAAGTAATGAAAAATTCCGTGCTCATTTCAATCGGGCCGAATCGAAGATGCGACAAAAATATGAAATGAAATGGTTCAAATTTTTACAAGATATTATTATTATTTATTGTGAAATTTTGCCGCCCCCTAAAAGTGCCGCCCGGGGTGGACCGCCCCTGCCGCCCCCACTACGCTACGCTACTGATCCCCACTCCGTCCATCTTTCACCATCATAGTATAATAGCATCAATCCCCCTAATATTCAAACATCCCAGCAAAATTTCAGAAATTTTTGACAAAACACAGAAGTTATTACGCTCAAAAGTAGGTAAACAAAATCATGGCCCCCACACACATCTATACATACAGAAAACCCCCGAATTTCTTGCATTTCTCGACGTTTCAAGATCTCCTGAATCCAAAAATGTAGAAATCTTGGAGGATCATTTTTTGACTCATCGCAATAGTAAGTACTATACCTGTACATACTTGTATTAGGGATAAATAAAACATTTCTGACATATCTTAACAGAAATAATTTGTCAATAGTTTTTGATGCCTGACTTTCTTCAACCAAGCCAATAAGACTCAAGCCAAACTCGTAATCAGAGAAAAGCATCATTAATTGCGATCTTTTGGGAAAGTTGGGACAAAGACGAATGTAGGGGTGAAGTGGAAACTCATGATATGCGTGTTTTGATTGGATAATCCGACTCGTTTGTAATGTACAGATACAGTACATGAGTGTTGGAGATCACAGTAACGATGTATTTGCATATGGTATCCGGCTAATGAGTACAATAGATGTGCAGATAAAAGTAATCTTTTTAGCTGTTTGTTGTAAGTTTTGAGGTAAGTAAGCAACTATATTAATTAATTAACTACGTTCTTTTGTAGATTTAAATGCGAGTGTTATTTTCCGATAGCCATGAATAATAGCTTGAAATTTTTACCTTTAAGTTATCATATGCTGTCTTTGAACATGTGGCATTTTCATGCGTATGTTGCTCATGAGGCAGACTGGAAAGAGGCAAACTGAAAAATTTTCCACTGTATCCTGTCTTGTTTCTACTTTGTTTTTGCATATTAATTGACGAGGCTATCACAAGCAAATGCTCAGCTCAGAAACAGATTTTATTGATGCATAAGTTGAAATTTATTTTGTGACAAATGTACTGTACCAATAATATCATTATCCACCACTTTCTCAGCAAATAAATCNAAAATAATTAATTATAAAGTGAAGATTAAAATTCGTTTTAAAACATACTTCCATACAAAATATTATCTTTTGTCAATGATTTAATGTACTGTATTTAATCGAAATATACGTAGCAATAATCATGTCACAGACAGAGTGACAAATCAGTAAACAACAATTCAAATCAATGTGCATGCTCGCTTGCGCAACACATATCCTCGTGCGCGGCAATAATTTGAGCAGCCGCTCAGCTTAAAGTGAACCTGCCGGGAAGATAGAGGAATGTGTAATAATACAATAAATTAATGTTTATTTTTCTATGTTTCGGTTTCATAAAAAAATTTTATGGTAAACACGATTTCCAATATTTCTCTAAACAGGCTGATTATTCTGAAGAAAACGTTTAGTGGAAAACAGTTTATTTGCATTTATAATAAAACCATTAAATATGTTTTTTTCCCTATATAACTTTCGAGCCGTTCATTAAATTTTAAATCTGATTACATTGTTGGATTTATCACTTTATATAGAAATTCTTTAAAACAATGCACTTTATGATGTACTGTACAGTAAGTTACAATTTGACATTATAACCGTTTTGATCTTTAATTAAAGATCAAAATGCCAAAAAGCATGCAGTTTTGACATTCTCAAAGTTTCACACTTTTATATTTACTAGAATCAGAAATATAAGCCTGCTATGCCCTTCTGGAATACGCTATACATAATTTTATATATGTATATAAACATGGAACGTTAACTGATTGAAATGATATTCGAACTTTGCATACATTTTGAAATGATTGAGAAACGTTTTTGGAATAAATTCCATTACTATTTTGTACGCAAAAGTTGATCATTTGAAAAATTTTAGAGCTTCAAGATCTATAAAATGAAATATTGAAATAAAAAAATAGTTATAAAGTTATGAAACTATATAAATTTTAAATAGCAAACGTTTATCTAATTAGAAGTGTTTAGGCTTATATATAGGCCTATAAATAATCAGACTTTGATTGTTGTTTATGAATTGAAACGCAACACACAGGCGATCTGCCGAAGGGATGCCTCTTCGAAAGACTTTCTTTGGGAAAATGACCCCTATTTAAGTGTTACAAACGTGAAGAAACCCGGAAAACTCCATATGGTTTAGTTGTTAGCCATTTGGCGAAGCGCAAACGCGCTTCGCCAAAGGGCTAACAACTAATGTTCAGCGGTTTCATACATTCTGCCACATATGTCATTTGAACTACGATATTTACATTATTTCTACATTATTATGCATCTAAACTTTACTTCGATTTTAAAGATACGCGACATTGACGAAATATTCAAACTTTGCTTACGTTTCGAAGTGATTGACTTAATGTGTCATTCACTTCAAAATTGTAGACCGAGTCTCCAACCTATGGCCCGAAGCATATTTATAGCTTATTTTCACCGACATGTTCTATCATCAACATTCGAACTAGTTCAAACATATAAACTTTTGAAAAGTCAACTAAATTTTATAGACGTTGCTGCAAACGTTTTTACAAAAATGTAAATAACTTAAAGAGAGAAATATGTTAAATTTTTACAAGGAAGAAGAAAATTTTAAAAGTCAAGCACGGGGAATGTTTTCTATTTTGCTTTTGCCTACCTTACTCGTTAGCTGACAAACTTTTTCGAAAAGAAAATCTGCTATATCAAATCAAAATATCGATCAACGCTTTCTAATATATATAAAAGATTTTAATATTGGATGACACAAAATTTATTCCCGATTTTGATGACATCCTTTCGAAAAAGAAAATTCAAATCTCACATTGATTTATGTCCATTGGTATTCAGAAATGAAACCAACATAATCTCTGACTATATCTTTTGTACATGGCCCTGACTTAACCTTGTCAGCTCACATGATCTTTCCAGTAAAAGATTGGAAACTTCTATTATAGACTCTCGCATCTTGTTGTAAAATAATTTATATTATTAAATTCTTATATTTATTCTATAGATTTTAATACAGCTTCCTCAGTGTTAGTGTTAAAACAAATATTCGACTAGACTTATAATTTAAACTGCTATTTGAATGCAATCACGCAAACAAATTAATCAACCAAAAATAATTCTGTCAATTTTTTTAAATGTTAAATTAATATACATTAGTATATCGGACTAAAAACAGGATTTCGTTAAATAGAAATTGTACATAAAAAATTTCGAAATAATAATTTTTGATAATCATAATAGATGGCGCCATAATATTTTTGTGAGGAAAATATGAATTGCTCACTGTGGCTTGTTTTAGTTTTCTTTTTGATAATGTAACGTGAATAACCTATAACCAGGACATCTCACTTTCCTGTAGACATTTTATAGAAACTGCACGAGATTTCATCTGATAAATTTATATAAGGAAAATATATAATGGATGGAAATTCGGGATCAAACTTTTACAAAGTTTCCAGGAAGCTTTCTAAATCCGTCTATTTATATAAATTTTAAGGTGACTTCTTCTGTTATATAAAATTTCAATTTTATTTCTCTAAGTAGAACAATTGCGTCATCAAGTTATTAAAACAAACTCGAGATGCATTTGACCTGAAAACTTTTTTTTAAAAGAATGTTCATGTATCATTGTTGAAAAAAATTAAAAGATTATCGAGTTCTCTATCTATTTTACTTTTAATTACTAATAAACAAAAAATAAGGTCATTATTAAATACTGATGAATTTTTTGAAAGTTAGAAAGTTTAAACTCTTAACAATGCCAATAAGTAATTAACATGGTTACGCAAAATGTCCTACATTTAGTTTTTTTTTCTGGCTGCAGCATGATGGAAAGAGTCATTTCTCTATCGTAGTAAGTCTATGTAAGGTAAAAAAGGGCAGTTAATGGGTGTAGTCTGTCTCGAGCTACTATTATCGAATTAACGACGCGGGTAGTTCTAATGATTTTTCATTCTTGAGAAAATCGCTTTTAGTCGGAAATCAAGAATGTTATCCAATTTGTTTTTCATTTCCGAAAGACAATTAAGCTGTGCATAGATGAAGCTATCAAAATCAGGCAGGTGTAACAGGCAATAGTTGAGTCGATGATTATCGGATAGAAGTACGTCGAGTGAAGAAGAAAAACTTTTAAAAGGAGGAAAAAAAAATTTGCACGAGTCATGGACTCTTGTTACCTTAGACCGGAAGTGTCATCTAGCAATTAGGAGCTTCAGCTTCTTTTGTATTTAACTATCTGAAATATTAATAGTCTACTAAATATTTTTCATCCATAATCTATTTCTATTATATTAATATAATAGAAATGGGTTATGGATAATATATACATGGAATATATGTGAATATGTAAATACATATAGATATATGTATTTTTTTTTTCTGAGTTTCTTAAGTTAAAAAGCGACAACAAAATTCAATAGTGATTCCACAAATGTTTTTATTTTGGGAAAGCATGGTTTAAACATGGGGCAAATAAAACGTTAATTGTATAAGTTACAAAAATATAAGTTAACCCACATTAATCAGGTTAAGTTCGACCCAAAGTTATTGGGGTTAGAAGTCGAAAACAATCATTCACTCGACCCATATTTGTACACTGTATTATGAGTCTTCCGGCCGAATTTTGAGCATCTCAAGTCCTTTCGTAAGTTGTTAATTTTGTACTCAGTTTGGTTTTAGTTTATTTCCAAGCGTTGATTGATTTACTGCAGTTAAATGATTTCACGGAATATAACCGAGTTCTTCTCGTATGTCCGTTTGTGACCAACGATGGAAACCGTCCTTGTTTATTCCGTGCTTCACTCGAATGCGAGTGACTTGATCGGCAAAATGCTTCATTTCCATTTCGGATTTATTATTGTTCATAGTCTCTGAATAATCTGAATGATATTCTTCTACTCCAGAATCTGAGGAACTATGTCCTCTCATAACTCCACTCTTCCTTCTTCTTCTTCTACGCTTCTTTTTCATCACTAATTGACGAGCTGTACTTCCTCCAAGAGCAGATCCGGTTGGACTGGAAGGTCTATGCTGCGTTTTATCTTTAGGGGATGAATTTGACAGTCTTAGATCTTGAAAACTCCAGGACATGCCATGTTTTTTCATGTTGACATCTGTATGCGGATGACCATGTGGTTGACCATGCGGACTAAGACATATTTCCGATGTATCATAAGCGGAATCTTCAGAATAATCAATACCATTTTTCTTTTTTGATTTTTTCCCATCTTTTACACGATTTCTAAAACTTTCAATCAATTTTCCGGTTTTTTGTTTGGCCTTGCGGAAAGAAGATTGGCTAATTCTCTTAATAGTAGCGAGAAAGTTATGTTTTCCTCTCACTCGCTCTTCTGAGGACCATCGAATCATTTTGGTTGCGTTTTGTTTCGGATTTTTGGGAGCTGGAAGCGTTGCTGCTCGTTTATAAGAAGAATCTGATACTTGACTAAGATTAGACCAGTTCTTTACCGAACCACTTTTATTATAACTTCTTATTCCGTGTGGAATATGACAAGTAGTTTTTGGATTTGGCACCAAATAGATGCTACTATCAGGTGTGCTCAGTCTCTGAGACGGATATGTTACATCTATTGAAATTCTATTGTTGTGAACTACATCGTTGGATGGAATTACCTTATGGATTTTATGTGTTTCTTTAGATCTTCGATTTATTTCAGAATTATTGCTAATTACATTTGGCTTCTCGGAAGTGTTTGGTCGATAACATTCGTAACCAAAATAAGTAAGTTTAATTCCTGAATTACTTTCTTTATCCGATAATTTTTTATGCCATGGTTCATCTATGGATGATTCTTCGCTTTCGCTGCTGAACGTCATTGTACGTGTCTGAGTCATCTCTTCTAAAACTCTTCTGGGACTAGGAGATTTAACGCAGGCAGAATCAGATGTATTGGTTGGAGATGAAATCCACGACTCAGGTCCGTCACTTGGCAACCAACTGCTAGCGTCTGTCCAGAGATAATCATCCGTCATTGTAGCCATATCTTTCTTCTTTATTCTTATTCTGTGTTCCGAAAATGCACTAGCACCAGAAGTACTAGGTGTTTTACAAAACCCACTCGCTCGATAATCATTCCTATAAGGATTCCAAAAAGGTTCCCAACGTTCCTCAATTCTAGCCAGAGAAGATCCTATTTCACTATTGGTTCTAGAGGTGTTTGACATTTTGCTACTTCTGTTTGAGAATTTTGGACTGGACACTTTCAAGGTTATGACATTTTTACGTGGAGAGAGCGATTTAAAAGAGGGTCCTCTTTTTATTCCATTTTCGTTGTATCTTTTCGTCATTCGGCGAGTATTTGGAAGAACAGTCTTTCTGGAATCTTGTATTCGATACTGTCCATTTTGATTAAAATGTGATGATTTTTTCATAACATTTTCTCTCTTATTATTTTCGCATTCTTTATTTGTATTTTCGATTCTGTCGTTAATGTTATGCACAAGGGAATAAGACGGTCGAGGAGGAAGAGGAGCCAATTCACTCGGTATAGTGATGTCGGAAGGAGACTCTTCTTCTGTCCAAGGTACTGTATTATCTTCATTCCGATTTACAATAGGCATTACACGTGGCACACTTGTAGAGATTGGTAAACCATCATCTTTAGCTGTTCCCAGATGAGAACAGAGAGTGATGGCATCTTCAGCAGTAGCACAAACGAATGCATGACATTCCAATAATTTCGGAGTGGCGACACTCCGTAAAAGACATGCGAAGATAGAAGGATGAGTGAGACTGACCAAAAATCTTTGTTTAGAATTTAGTTGCACATAAGACTTAGGATCCACAACAGCTTCAGAACAAGCGATAGGTACGAAGGCTGCTCCAAACGTTTTTCTTTTAATAATTCTAGAATTAAATCGAACTGATGCCCACAAGACAATATTGGACAAGGGTGTGATCACTTTCGTAACAACAGGCACTGTTTCACCAGATCTTCGATCTACTTCGGAATCAGCAACTACTAAGCCATAATCAGAGACATCCAAATTTTGTGTCAGAGCCAGAGGATGAGCACTTCTTTGATCTTCTCCTCTTCTTCGGGCAGCCGAATATAATTCCAAAAGAGGTCGTTGAAGAATGGAGATACCCACTTGACGTTTTCCATGGCCAAAGGAGGTGCATCCCAAATATCTAACTCTAAATCCATTTTGTAAAGTAGAAGAATCAAACATGTTCAATCAAAGCATGATTCGTCCGTCACCGATAGAAGCTCAACTGCGACTGGCCTCTTTTCATCCTGGCCTAAATCTCGGCTAACGGTGCCTATCGCCAGAGGGAGGTGAAAGCTGTAACGAACCGGTTTGAAGCAGGTGTCGCTTCGGTGGGAGGTACATCGAGAGTGTCGCCTACTGACGAACAAAAAGTAGTTCAGGGACGCGTCCACGGCCTGCGTCGATCTCACTTCTTATGATCGATACGACAAAAAGAAAACCTATTCCGTATGGATATAGCCACTTTATTAATTAACCAGAAACAGGAAAGCGGAAATGGTGAACGTTTTTTCCGGTCTTAGACTCAGAGAGGCTAGATTAAATGTAATCGTAACTCGCTACCTCGATTAAATACTTTTATATAAAGTATATTCCCACAATTTTTCCTAAAGTAAAGTAAAAATTGATTATTTATTTGTATTAAAACGAAAATTTATTTCGAAATTTTGAAAATCACTTTCGATAAACTTTAGAAATTAGTTCCTATTCTGTGAAAGCGAATTCCCTTCTTATTCGAATTCGATTTAAAAAATATTTATAAATCAAAATATCAAACTAAAAATAGTTTAATTGGAAGAATGAGTCCACTTGTTTACACCAAATTATTTTAGTTTATAAAAATAAAACATGTATATTTAGTAATAATTGGGGCATGGAATAGATTTCATGCCGAAAGTTTTGCCTCTTCTTCAAATGATAAACAAATTATGATGTTAATCTCGTGTCGAATCGAAAACGTTATCATAAGACGAAGAAAAGTTAGCAACGTCACGGCTGTGACTTCGGAGGGTGCTGAACCTGGCCGGGCGATGACTCGCTCGCGAGTCAGCTGCCATCCAAAGTGATGAGGCGTTACACATTTCGTCCTCATAACGATGAAATGCTTCCTCTTCTCCCAATTTGATTTATGCGCTTAACTTCTTCTAATATTAGCTATTCTCTTCAACGGATAAATTTCATGTTCTGAATGGGTGATTTCGATTAAATATTGCGCATGAATAACGCAATATATCGGTTAGATGAAGTCAGGTCTAGAAAATACGCTGACAACTCCATGAGCGAATCTCAGGAGGCGGTTCTGAATTCGTGTTAAAGAAAGAGCGATGTAGATACAGTATGTAATATTTTCTTAATAATCACTTAAAATAAAGTACATAAACTTACAACGTAAAATTTAAAAGTAATGATAAAAATGTTAAAATATAAGCGCATCATTTTAAAGAAATTAATCATGAAGCATCCTGTTAGCGATAAAAAATCTCAGGAGGCACTCGTCCTTCTTGCTGCTGTATCGTCTACTTCATGAAAAATCTCAGAATATTTTGAATTCTATACTCTCAAAATTAAGCTTTTTGCCATTTTATAATAAATAATCTAAAAAGTTTTTAAAATAAAATCTCATAACAGATGGTTCCACACACAATTTTAACTTTTTTGCCAGGAAAGTCATGCAACTCGTTGCTGGAATTTTTTTAATGTAACTAAACGATTTTTGTTAAATTTTATATTATAAAAAATCTTATATTGTTAGTACTAGAACATTCACTATAATTTTATTATTTTATTTAATTATTCAGGAATATTTAAAGTAGTATATAAACTTTGAATGTTTCAGTCACAGTACAATTCAGATTCCGGGGATATGTAATAAAAAGGAGGAAATGAAAAAAAGAAATGATAAAACATATTGCATAATAATTAATTTGTGTCAGTTTACATAAAATTGCGTAAAGATTAGTGTGAAAGAAATGTATTGTGCAGTAAATATAAGAGCTTCGATGTAATGTAAAACTTTGCGAGGAAATAAGAAATTTCACTATTCTAGTTCTTGTAATTTCTAAGAAATCTTCAGTGCAAATATAGGCCCTACATATCAAATAAAAATAAATTCATACATTGGTTTCTACTGGTAAATGTAGAAATTATTTTAATGTTTGATTTATGTATTTGTTATTTTTTATTTCAATTATTTAAAGAATTGTTTTAGGATTTTTATGGATTTAAAATCCCAGGAAAAATCTTAATTCAGCAGGTGATGTATTTGTGGTTCCTATGTCGGCTTTCTTTCAGTTCGCTTCGCTCAGAAGAGAACGTTAATTATGACGTCGGTACCTTTAGGTGGAGTAGCTTTGCTTTTCTTTTTCTCTTAGCTTTTTACACCGAACAATAGGGGTCACGGATTTTCACACTCGGGGAATGTCTCGCAATTAAAAAGAAAACAAAACATATTTTTGATGGTGGAAGTAGCATAATTCGTTCGTCCTTGATGGTGAAGCTTTATTTTTTTTCTTTCTAATAGTAGTAAGAGTGCAAAGGGTGATGAATTATTCTGAACACGAGTGAGACTCTACAAAAAATCATCGTCCTCATTATATTATACTTGGAGCAGAGAAAAACTGACAAGGTATGACGAGGAGGAATTATGGGAGATTTCAGCAGGTGTAACGATGCCATACTTCCCTCGGGTCGTCGACTGTTCATTTTTTAGGGGAGACGGCACACCTCAAAGGAGTCAAATGGCGAAAAGAAGAGGAGGAGAAAAAATCAGGGAGCGATCTGCGTAACGAAACTGTCTATTGTTTTAAGCAAGAGTACGCCTGGGCTACTCGTAAGGATGCAAAAACGATCGTGAGTCTAATGGGACTCACCTTGAGTTTAAATCCATTCAATGGATCACTTCATTACATAATGAAAATTCTTTCATATATGTTCCTGATAAATTAATGTCCCTCATCTATATTGTATTACATTAATGTTTAGACTTAATAATAGTTTATAAAAGATAAATTTTTATTACTAGAGCCTAATAAAAAAGTTATTTGCGAGCAGACTTTTAATGTTTCTCTAACCAGATTTTAATCTGTATAAAAGAATTATTTTTTCCAAAGAAATATCTCATATTAAAAATACTTATGAATGAAATTTCATAAACACGAATACTCTTATAAGAAATCGAATTGCAAAGGCGAATGGCAATGCAATACACTCTTATAAGAAATCGAATTGCAAAGGCGAATGGCAATGCACTCTTATAAGAAATCGAATTGCAAAGGCGAATGGCAATGCAATACTTTAAACTTCTTAGATTTTTATCGGTTGCTCCCTACAAAAACCATTCTACTAAAAGTTGAGAAGCTTAGTTATTTTAATTCTAATAATAGTAATTTAAAGCATAACTATTGTTATAGTTAACATGATGATATACTGTACAATACTTATGAGTACATTGTTTTGCATATTAACAAAACTATGTTATACATGGTAAACAGTACACATGGATAGATATTTGTAACTATTATAGATAAATAATTTATGATTTAGAGAATTAATTTATCTTGTACTATATATATATATAGATGATTAATTAATACATTTTTTTTTTTTACTAAATTTACAAATGTAAAGAAAATATTTTTCTAAATATTGTAAGTAACTGGAGCCTGAAATAAAAATAAATCAGTAAATTCATTTGTAAATACTAATAAAACAAATTATTTATTAAAAAAATTATTTTAATCAAACCATAAAAAGTTAAAATTAACAATTTATAATAATAATAATAATAATAACCTTGAATATAATTATTATATTTACATAATTAATTTTCATGCCAGATATAAATGAAAATAGATCAAAATAGCTTTGTATTGTAAATAATTTTGTATTTGGTATAGGCTACTGTACAGTACATCGAATTGGTGCGGTAGTCCAAAGTAAAATTTGTTTTCCAGTCATGTTAGTTAATTAAAAAAATTTAAAGTTATAAATTCTTTTAGATAAAATTTATTGATAATTTATATATATATATACAAACGCACCCACACAGTCACAAAATATAGATTGTTTTTAGAGATTGTTAGAATAATAACTTTTTCAATATTATTCTAAACCCAGTATTCCTACTGCATTTTATATAACAAGGAAATTACTTTAGATATTTTTGGAATGGTTAAACGAATGAAATTTCGATTGTTTATCGATGAATTCAAATATTCAACAAATTACAAATAAATATTATGTAATGTTATTAATATTTTCCCTTGCCATCTCTCTCTCTCTCTTTTTTCTCAACTTGTCCGATTATAGTTCAAATTTAAAAGAATTCGAGTGTCCATTTGTCGCTATCGATGTACAGCCATGTGTGGGCGATTATCAAGGAGAGCGACGATTTTGTCTCATGCGTGGGTCTGACTTTTGCACTGAACTCAACCGGTTACTCGACACAAATACATGTATTATCCATCAAGTATTAACAGATGTTTTATAATATTTTGTTTAATTTTCAGAAGAAAATTTAATTTTATATATAAAACATATTTTATATCATATTCGATAGTACAGGCCTAATTACTACACGACCTTTCACTTATAGATTCAAAATATCTGTAGTTCCTTAACAACTAATTACGTAATTAGTTTCAACGATCTACTCACGGAATATTCATAATTTATCATCATTAATGGCAAAAAATAAACAGTAACTTTGACCCATAGGCAAGGTGTTGCATGGATTCGGAGAGAGTCAAATTATTTTTGAAGGTTTATTTTTTTGTCTCGTGGGATAATTTTCTATAATGGTCATTTCGCTGATTAAAATTGAAATCTCGTATTTAATTTAGAAAATGAGCGAGGAATGAATTCCGGTCGAGGAAAGTGTCCGAAGGCCGCGTATGTGGGCCACTGACCAGGTGTGTCCGTGACAGACGGAGACATACCTCACACGTATGGGAAAACATGGCGATAATTCTTCTATTCAATCCACTATCCACCTATTTATATCTAATAATTTATCTAATAATAGAATCGACCTTTGAAAATTGAAGAAGTTTTTATTTGAAGAGGCAACAAAACTTTCTCCTCTTTGAATTTTTTTGATTCTGGGAACTTCCTTCTTAGGTTTCCTCGGAATCGACTAGTAAAAGGGGACATTTTCGATCATAGATAACAGAAAGAAATTGGTGTCATCAGATCAGGTAGGACCGGTTTAGGAGTCACTCGTGATTTTAGCCACCTCTTTTTCCTTTGGATATAACAGGATTGATTTCAAAACAAACTCTGAGTTTAAACAGAGAATTACAGAGCTAGGTGATTAAAAAATGTTAAACGATTCTACTTGCCCTCGAAATTACGTTCATTAATGCAATGCAATTATTAAATCTACGAGATATAATAATGGAT